ACCCTGGTGTCGCTCGATAGGGTGGTGTTACGGCTCCAGGGCGAATGCCGGCTGCAAACGAAAGTATTTCTACTGTGGTCGTAGAAATCGATATTTATTAACAAACTGCGACAATATTAATAACCCCGAAGCCATAGCAACATTATTAACCCTTCGTAAACAGCTCATTTCAATGAAATAACTCGTCGTTAATCATCCGAGCATATTTAGACTGCACGTCGAAAAATTTCCCAGGCCACCATATTGGATTTCGCTGGCAACGTCCGAAAAAGAGCGGAATTCTTCGAAGGAATTCTAATTTGCGGTTGGATAACAGCGAAAAAAATAATGAAACGATTGGTAGCTGGTAATCAGCTTCGATAAACAGATAAATCTGAGAGAGCAAAATGGCGGCCGGTGTTTAATGATCGTGTCCTTGATTGGGAAGAACTGCCGGCCGTTTTTCACGGAACAAATTAAACGTTTCCCACGACAGACGGAGAAGCAATCGCGAGCTGGACCGAGAGCCAGGAACTGCATCGTCTGACATTGGCGACCATCTTTGTTCCCCTAAGTATCGCCTATCGTCTCGGTGAAAGTTAACGATGAGGTGCATCCTCCCAAGGTCATCGATTAGGAATCGCCAAGTCACCGGGAAGCGGTTCTCCGTTTTTAAATTCGGTCGTGTTATCGATCAGGGACCAACGCCGCGATTCCACGGTTTTACTTTCCACGTGGTGGCCATGGGATTATGGACGTTTAAAACAGTTACATCACTGTAACAGCCTGTCTAGAAAACTTCGGGCCGTGTTCGTCTTTTTCACGAATTCGTACGTTTCGAGCGATTTCGTAATCGATCATTCGTTCGCCGGACCGATCGGCAATCGCTCAGGGATTTTAATTAGGTGGAAATGGTGCAACAACGTATGCAAAGTTATTATTTTTTTTTTTAATATTTCGTTGCGCTTATTTTCCATATTTAAACAGTGTAAAACTGGCTTATGGGGGACGTTCAATAATTTTAAACAATATACATGTCTATATCGATTTCGAGAAACATGCACATTTATCAATTTTGAACACTGTATGCATTTGTCAGTTTTTTAAACAATTTATACAGTCATCAGTTTTGAACACTGTGTGCATTTATCAATTTTAAACAATGTACACATTTACCAATTGTAAACCAAGAATACATTCATCAATTTTTAACGATACATCCGTTCATGAATTTCAAAAAATACTCATCCATAATTATCANGCCCAATTGAGGAACTTTTGTCGTCTCGTTTCTAATGAAATTTCTGAAGTTTTTTTCAACGCCGGCTGCCTATGCTTGGTAACGCCGTAAAAGCATCGATTAATAATTATTGAATAGAAAAGGATTTTGGATAATTATCGCCGATAATAAATAATGATATTATTATTATATAATATAATAATATAATAATGTAATACTATAATACTATAATACTATAATAATATAATAATATAATAATATAATACTATAATACTATAATACTATAATACTATAATAATATAATAATATAACACTATAATACCATAATACTATAATACTATAATAATATAATAATATAATAATATAATAATATAATAATAATATTATAATAACAATTATAATATTATTATAATAATAATATTAATATTAATGACTAATATAATAAACAATAAAATAATAAACAGTAAAAATGATAGAATAGACAAACGGTAAAATCTTCACACGAATTAACGAATTTCTAATTGACATACGTCGACCGTCTAATTGACCACGTAAACGATTTAAACGAAGGTTCCAACGTGAATTCTAAATGACTGGGAATGAGTCTGAAGCGGGCAGCATAGCGACGGGTGCGTAAGTTTTCTGAATTTTTCGTCGAACACATCTCACCGATCAAAATGCAAATGGAATCGGATGCGACGGTTGCGCAACAACCATAGTCACGCGAGGGATTACACGGCCGTATTAATATTTATGCAGGCAGGCCGGTTAAATCGGTTTTATTACTCCGGGGAATTAATTACCTGTGCGATTTTGAAATATGATTTTATATCCGCGGCAAAATAGAAGCAGTTCAGACTGCGGATTAAGCTTCGTCCACTGTCTCGGACATTATTAGGCGAATCGTTCCGGCGTCATGCATTAGAAGAACGACGACCTAAACATAATTGTCCCTCCTTCGTTTTTCGTTGGCAGTTTTTGAAATTTTGAAACTTCTTATTTCGACGATCGATTGATTTTTCATACGTTAAATCGTTAATTACTTTTCCGTTAATTTCAATTTTATATTTATAACTGCCTAGACTGCGATGTGAACATTTTCTGCACTATTTGCAAGGAATTAAGTTTTCTTTTTTTGTTTTTTCTTTTACATGAAATGAACAATTTTTGTATTTCGCCGAATTAGGCAATTGCCTTCAAACGCGCCTAAATCCAGAATCATCATTCCATGTAAAATCCTTGGGCGTCGACCGTGAAAATTAATCGATTCAGCGTGATCTGATACTCACATATACATATATATACGTATGTATATATATTATATATATATATATATATATATAAACCTTGACCCATGTTTATCATGCTCGTTGACACTTTCATTTAATATTTAAGATTAGGTCTGCGTCTGACGATGTACAGGGTGTCCCGTACATGAGAAACGTCTTACAACGGAATATAAAAGTCGAGGACATTCTCTGCTCTAAAGATGTGAATTTGATGGTATAAGAAAATCCCGGTAAGGTCACGTTAAAAAAATGTCACTCCAAGGTCATCGATATTATTTGCACTCTAACATCTTCCTTTCATAATGCCGCTTTATGGGCGACATCGAGATAAGCACCTCTGACTCTATCGCATCGTGGTGACCTTGAACAATATTTTATGCCCAATTGAGGAACTTTTGTCGTCTCGTTTCTAATGAAATTTCTGAAGTTTTTTTCAACGCCGGCTGCCTATGCTTGGTAACGCCGTAAAAGCATCGATTAATAATTATTGAATAGAAAAGGATTTTGGATAATTATCGCCGATAATAAATAATGATATTATTATTATATAATATAATAATATAATAATATAATACTATAATACTATAATAATATAATAATATATAATACTATAATACTATAATACTATAATACCATAATAATATAATAATATAATAATATATAATAATATAATACTATAATACTATAATGCTATAATACTATAATAATATAATAATATAATAATATAATAATATAATAAGATAATAATATAATACTATAATACTATAATACTATAATAATATAATAATATAATAATATGGTAATATGGTAAAATAATAATTATACTATAATATTATTAATAAATTAATAATTGTCGATATTATACACCCCTTATTATATAGCCCTTGGGCCTCGTTTTTATAGTTATTGACAATCGCAACTATAAAAATGAGCCGCGAGTTTCGAGTAATCGTATCTCCTCTTCCCAAATTGTCCGTTTTCGTTCACAAGCTGAAGGACAATTGGAGAGAAAATTTACTGTACATTGATATCGACCACGGTTAGCCACCTCGATTTTGTGACCTTATAAATTCACTGTTACGTCGATATTTGACCGCCGCTGTTGGTTCCGTGCTGTATAATAGATTCATTGTGTTTATTTTTCATTATATCGTAGCCGACATATTTGTCTGCGAATCAATAGCTTAGTTGCTACAGCATTCTATGTGCTGTAATTACGTGACAATCGTCATTTTTACGTGTTCCATTTGTCGTTTGACATTTTGTTACGAGTTCATCAGTTCGTTAAATTTTTTGCTGGCACAGAAAATAAACGCAAATCTTTCACAGAGTTTACGTTATCAGTTAGCGATGCATACATATTGTTGAAATGGGCAAATGTCATTCAGTACATACGTAATTTTCTTTCCGCATTATTTCTTTCAAAGTTAACAATTTTTTACAAGTACTCGGCAGATCACTACAAGTTTTAGTATCGTTATTTTACACCAATTTATTGTACACCAAATAAAGTGCTGGACCGATAGTGAAATAGCTGATCTAATGCCAATTGTTAAAAGAACAGTATCGGATCTGGTAGACGCTACATGGTCAGTGATCATTAGTGGAAATATTGAAAATTGTGATCAGTGACTTAATGGCAGTGGAGGAAAGGGTCAGTGACCTAATGAGATGAGAAGATCCTCCTCTCGCACATCTTCTTCCAAAGTTTCAACTCAAACAAAGCAATTGAGTATTATTATTATTATTATTATTATATTCTGACCCATAACAGTTGGATCAGAAACATTTGTTGTAAAGTACTATTCAATTAAAAAAAAAAATCAATCAAGGAATTTAAGAATGCTTCCATTTCATCGAAGTCATTAAAAAATAATTTTCCTGATGCTACTTGATTAATTGATGCAGAAAATCTTCTTTATATTTATCTTGCACTACCGAATGTGACAAACAAAGTAACTTGAGTATTACTATTACTCTTTCCTATAGTAGCTGCTCTAAAGATTAGCCTACTGGCACCAGTAATTTTAGTAGAGAACGAAATCAACTTTTTCAAACGGTATAACAATTAAAAGAATTTAAGAATATAAAAAATCATCAGATTCATTGAAGCAAGCACAATTTTGATTTCACTAATGTGAGCTGCAATTGATCCAGAAAATCTTCTATCTAGGCACCAGTGAATGGACTTTTAGGGAGTATTTTCCATCTCGTCTACAAGCATCGCGAAACGAAGGAGCAGCGAGAGGGGTAAAAACCTTTTGGCAAATAATTCGCCACATTCGCAACCTGCTCGATGGAATTTTACACTTCCACCGATCCGTAGAAGAAAAGCGTGACAAAATCCGAGTGCACGATCGCCCAATTATTAGACTAATTATGAGTAAGGTCGAGCCGAGAAGAGATGGGTCCTTGTGACTCACGGCAGAGTGGGATGAGTCCTCCGTCTTGGTGGGGACCATTTCTATATAATCGACGGTGAAGGTGCCCGTCTCTTCATATCCTATCAGTGACCACGTTTCTTTCGCTGTCGGGCTCTTCCTCCGATTCGTACGCTCGGGATAATCAAACGGACGAGCAACAGGCTAGCGAGACAAGGTGAGTGGTCCAGGAAACTGAAGTGCACCGCTTCGATCCATTTTCCTCTCTCTCTCTCTCTCTCTCTCTTCTCTGATCTTCTCCGATACTAAAACGGCGATTTATAAATTTGGCCAAAAGATAGTGTCGCTCGTGTGTGGAACTTGGTAGACGATGAGTTCCTTGTGGTAGGTTCTTGACGATCAATGCAATTGAGAACTCGTTGCAGAAGATATTTTTACGCTATTTTCAATATAACGACATTATTTCGAGAAGCAATTTGTTCTTACTTAATTTCTGTTTTTTTTTTACAATCGTCGGGGGTAAATTTTTATATTGTACAAAGATCTGCGGTCTAGTTATTACCTTTCCTCGTACTTTGATGCAACATTTGTGATCCCTCAGGAGCTGTAGGTCATCATTTTTGGACATAACGAAGTATTGTTGTCCTGAAACCTAGAAGTATAAATGTAAACTGATGCAATTAATGTTATAGATTAATAAATTAGAGTCAAATGTGACAGGAAATGCTTGTCAACATAATCTCCTCTAACTGAAGATGCTATTTGAAGTTTCGACTACCAGAACTTGCGACCTACAATAAGAACGACAAGGCTCTGTTGAGAAATTCTACAGTTTTCATCAATTCAGAATTTCTCCACTTTGTTAACAGTTCAGAAATTCTTCACTTTCTCAATGATTCAGAAAATCTTAACTTCGTCAATGATTCGGAAAGGTTCAACTTTGTCAACAATTCAGAATTTCCCCAATTTGTCAATAATACAGAATGGCTCAACCTTGTCAACAATTCAGAATTTCACCACTTTGTCAAGTAATTCAGAATTTCTCCACCTTATCAACAATTCAGAATTTCACCACTTTGTCAAGTAATTCAGAATTTCTCCACCTTATCAACAATTCAGAATTTCTCCACTTTGTCAAGTAATTCAGAATTTCTCCACCTTATAAACAATTCAGAATTTCTCCACTTTGTCATGTAATTCAGAATTTCTCCACCTTATCAATAATTCAGAATGGCTCAACTTTCTCAACAATACAGAATTTCTCCGCTTTGTCAATAATTCAGAATTACTCAACTTTGTCAACAATTCAGAATTTCACCGCTTTGTCAATGATTTAGAAAGGCTCAATTTTGTCAAACATTCAGAATTTCTCCATTTTGTCAATGATTCCAAAAGGCTCAACTTTGCCAACAATTCAGAATTTCTCTACATTGCCAACAATTCAGAATTTCTCTACATTGTCAATAATTCAGAAATTCTCCACTTTGTCAATGATTCAAAAAGGCTCAACTTTGCCAACAATTCAGAATTTCTCTACATTGTCAATAATTCAGAAATTCTCCACTTTGTCAATGATTCAAAAAGGCTCAACTTTGCCAACAATTCAGAATTTCTCTACATTGTCAATAATTCAGAAATTCTCAACTTCGTCAATGGTTCAGAATGACTCAACCTTGTCAACAATTCGGAATTCCTCCACTTTGTCAAATAATTCAGAATTTCTCCACCTTATCAATAATAAACTTTCTCAACAATACAGAATTTCTCCGCTTTGTCAATAATTCAGAATGACTCAACTTTGTCAACAATTCAGAAATTCGTCACTTGGTCGACAATTTATAAATTTCTCCACTTCCTTGGTAATTGAGAAATGCTTATCCTTCGTCAACGATTAGAACAATCTGTATTTCGAACGCGGTTCAGAAATTTGCCACTTTGTCAACATTCCTCGGCAAGTGGAAAGTCCAAAAGATTATTGAACTGACCACCGGCGTTCGTGCCCGTTATATAAGATGTGCATTCCTCCCGTCGGCTTTTAATTAAAAGAAGCCGAGTCCGTTCGCGTGCACAATCGGCTGCATAAGGTATCCACGGATCGTAAACACCGCCAAAGAAAAACGGAGATGGATCGCGGGGATGTCGTGTCCTCGATGCTTTCATCAATTCGCGAAAAAAAAGACTGCCATGAAAGTTTGTTCCATTGACACTCCTTAAGAGAAACTCCCATTGACTTAAGGAAACTGACAATGAGCCTAGGAGTCACGATCTTTATCTTCGTCCGTTGGTATTCACCGGCAACTCTCACCGATCTTTTTTTTGCTGGCTATCTTAAAAGTGTCATGTATTGAATTTGTTTCTGGCATGGTCGAGTGGGAACTATGCTTGTGTAAGAACTATAAAAGTGGCAGACTTACGACCAGCCGAGCATCGGTCTGTTGCAGCAGATTTTATGCACCCGTGAGAAAAACGTGTAGACGAAGTTCTGAAATTATTGAGAAAATAGTTTCGCTATTTTCAGTTGACCAAGATCGTTAAATGAAAATATACGTTTCTGCTCAACTCCTGTTTTGTGTAATCGACGCAGACAATTTTTATTTCGAAGTGAAGATCCACAGTCCGAGCAAAAAGATGGAGTAAAACATGGGAACACAGTTAATTCGAAGCAATTAAAATTATTTGCAGGGAAAGTTCATTTTTATTAAGCTCTTCTTATTGTTAATTTAATGGAGAACATTCAAATGAAAATATCTTCACATCCGATCATTGTTATTGTAAGTGGCTCGGTACATTTATGTAGGAAATAACAAGCTGCCTCTGAAAGTTGGCCTTCGCAAGCCTTTGACACGTTCATCCACGAGAAACTAACATCAGAATACATGCTCCGAATCGGTCAATTTTGATCCAGACTTTGTTACAACTAGCTTGCAGATTTCTCTGCAAAAGAAGAATTGCCTGCATCGATGTTTGTACAATTGCTACTCAGGAAGAGACAAAGTTACATGGAAATTAATTTATCTTCTGCTCGCTTCTGTTCATTTTTGTCTCAAATGCACGGTTGCAATTGATTCATTCCTGTCGCAAATCCATTCTTGCAACTTACGTGTTCATTCCTATCGCAAATAAATTGTTGCATTTGGTCTGTTCATTTATATCAAACACGTATTTCTGTATTTGATCTATTCGCTCTTGTTTCATATACATTGTTGCAAAGTATCTCTTTATCCCTGTCGCAAATCCATTGTTGCAACTTACGTGTTCATTCCTATCGCAAATAGATTGTTGCATTTGGTCAGTTCATTTATATCAAACACGTATTTCTGTATTTGATGTATTCATTCCTGTTTTATACACATTGTTGCAAAGTATCTGTTCATTCTTATCACAAAAATATTCCTTGCATTTGATCTGTTCATTTACATCAAACACGCATTTCTGTATTTGATTTATTCGTTCTTGTTTTATACACATTGTTGCAAAATATCCGTTCATTTCTATCGCAGATACATTGTTGCAAAGTATCCGTTAATTCATATCGCAGATACATTGTTGCAATTGATTTTTTCGTTCCGATAAAAATGCATCTTGCAATGCTTGCATCGCAGAAGCGACTCGAATAATCACCTTAAAATTGCTGCGCTGTTCCAACGACGAGCAATTGATAGAAAATTTGGAACAACATTGTTGCAGATGATGCTGGTGCCACTGGCCGTGGTGCTGTTCGCGGCGTTCGCCCTCGCAGAGCCCGCCATCAACGAAATTCGGCCACAAAGCAACAGACCAGGAAGATTCCTCTCGCTGCCAATCCCGCAAAAATGCGCGAACCGTAAGTAGACTTCTTTTTCACATTGTGCAAACGCTGCCGGCGAAATCGGCGATCATTCAAACACCGTACATCGCTTTACACAACACTCGTCTCCGAGCGATTGTACGAGTACATATTAGCAAAACAAATTGACGGACGCCTCTGTCCAAGCGTCTCTATAAATAGAATCGTCGTAGAATTTCCTGGTTCCTCAAATCTTTTTTGCAACATTTTTTTTGCAACATCACCTTTGCGAAAAAACTGAACGGTTCCGTTCGTTCGCGTTGCCTTCCGAAAATGATCGAAAGAACATAACCGAAACGACGTTACAATTTTTGATAATCGCGAAACATAGAGTTCGACGCGAATTTTGGAAAGATGGTGGAACCTCGATCATCCGGATCGAAGAATATTTGAATTCTTTATTGACCGAATTGTTCATCGAATAGTAAACTGTTTATTAATAATGATGCAAATACGAGCAACACCGTTCACTATAAATCGTTAAAAAAATTTCAGTTCAGAAATTGTTCTAAAATTCGAACCCTAATTTTGTCTCGATTGGTCCGGATG